AAAACACAGCACAGAGGACAAATTAAAACTTTAAAAAAAAAAAATTAAGAACTAGACTCAATTTTCATCTTGCCCAGAAGACAGTAATTTCTAACTTGAGAGAAGACAATACATGATTAACTGAACTTTATTTCTAACTTGAGAAGACATTACATGATTAACTGTACTTTATTTCTAACTTGAGTAAAGACAATACATGATTAACTGTACTTTATTTGTAACTTAAGAGAAGACAATACATGATTAACTGTACTTTATTTGTAACTTGAGAGAAGACAATACATGATTAACTGTACTTTATTTCTAACTTGAGAGAAGACAATACATGATTAACTGAACTTTATTTCTAACTTGAGAGAAGACAATACATGATTAACTGAACTTATTTCTAACTTGAGAGAAGACAATACATGATTAACTGTCCTATATTTTGAACTTGAGAGGACAATACATGATTAACTGAACTTATTTCTAACTTGAGAGAAGACAATACATGATTAACTGAACTTTATTTCTGACTTGAGAGAAGACAATACATGATTAACTGAACTTATTTCTGACTTGAGAGAAGACAATACATGATTAACTGAACTTTATTTCTGACTTGAGAGAAGACAATACATGATTAACTGTACTTTATTTCTAACTTGAAAGAAGACAATACGTTTTTAACATATGACATCAGTACGCGATGTCTTATAGCTGGGACATGATTTTCAACTTGGCTAAAATACAGGATAATTTACCTTGAGATAAGAAAAATTACTATACAATTTCTGTGAGACTTACTTCAGATAACAGTATTCTCCTGAAAGCATTAGCAACGGCAGCATCAATACCAATCATATCAAATTCCATCTCAGTTTCAGACAAACTTAATACTTCGATCTTAAATTGCTGGAATAGCGGAGGATATAAAAATCAAAGAAAGCTTAGAAAGAACTCTTGTGTGCTGAGAGATTTGGAAAAATATTAAGACTGTTAAAAATTAGTTTAAAATTTGAGAAGCCTGGAGACTAATACGAGTATGTCTGCTATTTGAGATGAACAATACGATCTACAGTATTGAAGTTAATAATATGCACTGAAAATTCTTATTAAAAACAAAATGAATACATTTAATTGTAAATCTCTGGATTAAATTGAAGCACCTTTGCAACATGTTTGAATCTGATTTTTTGAGATGTTAAAAATTCCCAAATTTATGCAAATTAGATTATCAATAAGGGTTGTTTTCAACCATAAACAAATCAGTTCCGTTGATTATCCCAGAGCATTTATGTACAATGTTTCATTGAAATCTGACTAGTGGTAAGATCTTGGCTCATTTAATTAAATAGGTTATTAATATTTATGGTTTCAACCCTAAACTAATCACTTATCCCCAGAATCCACTTATGTATCAAGCAAATTGGGTAATTAGTATGCACAAGTTTCAATCAATTTTATTGTCACCTCTTATAGAGTTTGTTGTATCAAATTAGAAATCTAATTTTAGAAGAAAAAAAAAGCTTGCAATATTCAGCATCAAACATGATACAGGATCAAGTACTGTAGAATACTTTATTATCGTTTGGAATTTATTTACGCTATTTTCGCTAAAGGGATGATTCCGTGAAAATAAAATCCAGTGAATATACATTTTTTCCTATATTTTACATTAATCTCATCAAAAATCAGTGAAAATAAATTCCAAGCAAAAAGCCTTTTCAGCGAAAATAAATTCCAGCAAAAATAAAGTATTCCACAGTAATTGACCAATAAAAAATGTGCATTCATGTATCAGGTCATTGAATGTGTTCATTTACAATACCAATGACCTGTTCATGGTGGTCATGCTTGATGAATCGTTACAAGTCAAATATGCATGCATACAGGGACATGCAATCATCTGCGATCAGGACCAGAAAGTTCTTATGGTGCAACATAAATTTAATTGTGTGACACACTTTTCCCTTCTTCTATTTTGCTTGCCATAGATGATATTCACATTAATCTATATGTATGAAACAGAAGGCAAATGCACAAATTAATTTACAAGAAATTGGTCAAAACTCAAAAGTTCATACTGTACTAATCCTGGGGGTAAAATAGCCTATTCATCATCCACGATTTGTTGAAAAACAAATCAGGAGTATAATTCAGATTATTTATACATATGATCTTATGGTCAAAATATCTCCCTTATGTCATAAAATAAACTAATGTAATCAAGGACCACCCAAGGTACATGTACATATATACCAATTATTGAATCAATCTACCTAGTAGTTATCAAGAAGAAGTCAAATAGCATTTTTGACGAAAAATGACAAAATTGGCAGAATTACAAAAATTACAGAATTGAAGATACCATCCTGAAATGTTCAAATCTGATAAAGGTTCATCCAAAGTACACATTTACCAACAAAATATCGAAGCAACTGGAGTAGACATTTAATAAAAGAAGTCAACAACAACTTTTTTTTACTGGTCACTGGTAGCATAGCGGTTGTTGCATCAGACTCGTGATAGGTAGACAAATTCAAACCCCATCTTCGGCTGCACATTAAAAAAGGTTGACTCCTACCCCGGGCAAGTGTGACACAGATTCACTATTGCATGTGACTTTGAAAACCTTGGTTAAGATCCAAAGGTGTTGGTATTTGACAATAACATTTTTGACCAAAAATATTCGCTAAAATTACAGAATTGTAGATATTGTCACGATATGTTCAAATCTGTCTGTCATCTTCTTGTATACAAATGAGGATTGGGCAACGCAATATTAAAATATTCAATTTATACTCAGATATATACACTATGATAATATTCACATACGCTCAAGTGATTTTAGACATTGGGGTAGCAAGCAATTAAATAGCACTTCAATGTTCCACCACTAGAAGTAGGAAGTACATAAATTAATAATTAAAAAATAATGCCATATTTCTGTGGATTTTAAAGCGATAAATGAGAACAATCGAGGTAGCTGAGAGAGAAAGTCTTGTGATTTGTTCGTGTCCTCAAAACTATTTGTGTTAATCAAGTATTGTCTTGTTCTAGTGTCAAGTCTTGCCACTGCCACCGAGTTTCCGTTTAACAGTTCAAAACAAACCATATCCTAAATCAAATAGAACAGTTTGTTTGCGCCCACTCTCCTTGCCATTCATGACTTAAATTAGTTGGTAGAACTCCAGGACAATTTAAGACACTATTCTAATGATGCAAACTACGTCTTCGTCAAAATTTTCTGCATGAATACAGAAAAACTCAGAGAAACAACACATTGACTTCCACCAAGTTGGTCACTTCTGACTAACAAATCTGCATTCTAAAGAATAGAAAACACTTAATAATGATGTTTTGACTTTGGAAGCATACCTAATTTTAATCTTTTTGGATTTTGGCAATCCCATGATGTATCCTTGGAAGGAAAAGATGTATAATAATAAGGTTATTACGAGGATACCTCAAAGTATGCACTCAGACAGTATGCCGTCACATCGAACTCCGCTGCGCGTTGGTCGATACTCCCGCTGTACTGTCTTCGTGCATACATTTACAATTGAGGTATCCTCGTAATAACCTCACATTATCTTTTCTGTATACTATTCAACAAACAGAAAATTTTGACCAGCCTCATGCAAGCTAAATGTGAGGCAGGCTTGTATGTGTGCAAGTTACTACTCACTTGTGCCTAATTGCATGGCTAATTACTTTGAAATTACCACTTTAGCAAAATATGAGGTGCCTTGTTGCAGTAATATGATAACCTGTTTTATAAACTACGTTATACAAATATAGCAACATACCAAGCAATTTAGCTAGCAGCACTGTGATATTGCTTGTTGCTTTTATAGTGAGGGGTTCTTGAAATATCTGTAGAACAGCTGTAAATTGTGTAACTATACTATGCACAAGTTTCATCCCTAAACTAAACATGTATGTGGATTACCCTGGAGCACCTACGTACCTAGTTTCATAAAATCTCTAAAATTTCACTGACTCTAAATATTCAACCACTTAATTACTTAGCAGATTTTGGTAATTTATGTACTGTTTTCTTCAGTTCTATAAAAAAATGAATGTTTTAGAACACTTGATTGAAATTCGTTTTAGGAATGCTCGTCAGCCTATGGTTACAGTGCGTGTTTAGTTTAATCCTTGTTTATTTTATGTTATTGTTTGTAATTTCTCTATTGACATAAAATTAACATAAGCAATGATGTCATTTCCCCCACAAATCAATGATTTTTTTTGTTTTGCAAATTGTTTTGATCAGTTTGATCATGTTCACTTGAAAACAATTTCTTCCATAGCCAGTGTAAAAAAATGAGCACGCTGAATACGCTCTGTTACCAAGGAATAGCATCTTGATATCCTAGCTTGAATGACCTGTAAACTAGAATGGTTTCTTATTGGAATATTGAATCAGTTGATGAATAGACCTTAAAGTTATTCTATGAAAAAATGCGTTAAACGTCTACCACGAGTTCAAATTCCTAACATTTGAGCCTTACCGTTAATATTGCACATGTAAAATCGTCCGAAAACTGTTTCCAAAACCAGTATTTTTATACATTTTCTTGGCATGATATTGCAGAAATTAGTACAAAAGTGAAAACAAAACTTGTATTGCTGTGGATAAACAAGTTTTTGGTGAAAAGATACTTACAACTGTCAATAAAATTGTGACGTTTTGTAAATACATGTACAGTATAAAGGTTAGACTGGCAAAGTTGGGACTTCTTTTTTGTTTACAAAAAAAAATAATTAATTGATTTTAAGTCTTTTTTAGTTTGATCGCAAAAACTAACGTGACCGTGAAAGAAATCCCGATTGGACGCATCTGCGGACATTTGACTGCTATTAATTATTCATGATGTCATTGATTATTCATGAGTGGGTGTGTGAGACACGCGAGACAGGTTTTATTTCCAAAAATAATATTGCCTCTTAGGCAAAAGAATTTAAGTTATAAATTGGAGTCCACCACCAACATGTCGCAAAGCTGCAGCACCATTAAGTTCCATTATTAAGCAAATGTGACAAAACACACCTGTCATACACTGAATTATCTTTTCAACTGTCAAATTGCAAAAACAACACCTTCCACATACCATCATCACTTCTTAAACTGGTAGCAGTGCCTTTAAGTGTCAGGTCAATTTATTGGCTGACACTTAAAGGCAGACTTATAATGATCCAATGAGATTTATCGTTTCTATGCTGTACCAGTTTTTGAAATCCTCAATCATAGTTTTACCTAAATCTAGTATGCTTTCAGGAAAAATGAAAATAAAGAAAAAAATACCTTTTGTGCTTTTAATTTTTTTGTCAATATATATATATATATTTTTTTTTTAAATGTTTTTGCGCCAGGTGACAGATCCGGACTTTGAATGTCACTGTTGTCTCGCCTAAATTTTTTTTTTTGTATGTGCAAGTTGCTAGTGCTGACACATAGTGCATATTGCCACAGAAGTCATTTCCTGTTTGGGACTACATGACAGGGCTGTGCGGCCATCTCCCTATCAAATGGCAATTTAATGCCCTATCCTGGCGTCAACTAGGCTCGGTCAAACACAAGCACCTGCGAACCTTAACCAAGGTTCCCCCAAAGTCGCATTCGTTAGTGAATGAATCTCGGACAGTGGTTTGGCCTTCTCATTGAGTCTGTGGCACACTCACCCAGGGTAGGGGTTGACCCTTTTGATGTTTAGCCTAAGGTAGGATTTGAACTTGGGTCTACCGATCATGAGTCTGATGCGACACCAACTATGCTACCAGTGACCTGGTGTCAATATATTATTTTTTAATTTCGGGCCAACAATGTTCAACAATGTTAAACAGTTTTTCAACTTGCTTGCTCTTCATCAACTTTAAACTCTTCAATGTTTGTGGCAAGCACTACTAGCAATTTTCTCCAATAATTTTTAGTATGAATTTTCAAAATCTTTGGTACTGGCGCAAAACTGTAGAATAAAACTCAGAAACAAAGTTTGTAGTAATTCATTCTTAGTAAAATAAATTATCATAACCCAATAAAAATGCCACGCTCACGATTTACTGTTGTTCAACAGTATTACAATGCTGTCTTTCACTGCCTCAAATGTTCTTCTGGGGTTCTACGATTATGTAATCGTGAAAAATGCAAGCTCAGCCATGTTAGAATTTGTAGTACTGCTTCCCTGCGCTCACTCGCCAGGCATGTCTGCTTCGTATTATTTGTGGAGTAGAATATAACCTTTATTGCTATTGTGTGTTTGCGGTTTTGATGAAAAATACAATAAAATGAAAAAATAATAATAATACAGGAAAAAACCTAAATAAGACGCTCAAATTTCTAAACTTTTTAATTTGTATTTTCTAAAGCAACTGGTTCAAGCATTTCATAAGGATAGGGATATTTTTTTTATTTACCTTTTCAAAATATTCCTGACTCCAAGAGTCATCATATCCATCGTAACTGCCAGGAAAATCGGAAGAGTGCACCTGCAGTAAAATAATAATACAATAATTTCACAGTTTAATACCGGAAAACATTAGTTTGTATAACACTGAAAAGCATGAATTTACTAAACTTACATCTTTCACGCTGTGTTCATCGAGGCAAACACGAGTTCGTCTGTCATCAATGCGGGCAGACATGTTGGTTATTGGAGGAAAGAGACGAAGAGTTTTGAACAAACGATCTTGGACTGTGCCATTCAATCACTACTTTAGGGGTGACCGATATGATATTCTTGAGAGGGTATGGTCCATTCTCCTTCTCAGAGATCCTTGCGGCCAGAACACCAATATAAATAGAACTCAGCCTGGGAGATTGGGTATGGTTTTGCGGTTCCCAACAGTTTTTAAAAAATTTGTTGAAATTGTTTGACTATGACAAGGTTACAGAATTATTAATACATTGTATAAATTGACTCAAGTCTATATGTGACAGTCAGCAGTAGAAATCAAACATGAAGTAACTTCAAATAAATAAATAAATAAATAAATAAATAAATAAATAAATAAATAAATAAATAAATAAATAAATAAATAAATAAATAAATAAATAAATAAATAAATAAATAAATAAATAAATAAAATAACATCAGATAAATAATGTTCTACATAAACTTAGAAGGCTGTAGTCGTCGCGCTGCGCATACTAGAGATACTACTTTCCATGTATAAACAAAGATTGCTATTTTGGCTGCTGTGCATACCGACTACTACAAACTGAGAGCTTTAATTAGGTATTTTTTTGTTGGTGATTGCAAGGTATCGAAGGAGCCACCGGCGGTAATTAATGCATGTGGCGCCCAGGGCAAAACTCGTACTCGTGATTTCATTGGACTATGAGACAATCAATGTTTATCAACACAAATGTCACACTTGCGCGGCGCGACGACCACCGCCCTTTAATATGTGACATTTGAGTCATTTCAAAAGTAAAAATTATATCGCATAATTATAAAGTTGAAACACAAAATTCATGCAAAATCACATTTTTATTATTTTGGTTTTATGGGTACCGAATTTAATTTGTTGAATTTGTGTCACCTGCCATCATATTTGTTTAATACGCGGGGGGGGGGGGGGTCGTCACCTGCGCAAGCGACAGACGCCTCAGCCAATCTCTCACTCAGATTTATATTCCTACGGTGTTCTAATCGCCAGGAGCCTTGGAAAGGAGGATGGGCTGTAGCATGTCGTTGTTAACAAACATACGTCTAACCATGAATCATTGCATTTTGGCGTGCGTTGTTACAGTGGCTTGGGGCTCAATTCCCACGTGTGCGTACTTTTTTTTTTGCCGACATTTTTTTCTCATGGACTGGGCGGAGCTTAGTATTCTTATTTGACTGATTATTCAACAACAACTGTCAATCGTTCATTAAATGCAGATACTGTAGTCGACGTCTGCGCCAATCTCTTGTTTGTGTGTATAGTTACTGATCTGAGCTGTGTAAAGTAAAATAAGCAATTCATTTCTGGTGACGAGTCAGCTGGTTGGAGTCCGAATTCTAAAGTTACGTATTATTTACAGAGTAAACAGGTAACACATTACATTTTTCATTGTGTTATATTAATGTACAGAGGGACTGCGATTAATGATTACATATTGCCTAGCTGTACAATTTGCAAAAAAAAAATATTTGTACATAGCAGCACACAATTACAGTTAATAACATTATGTTTTTGTTTTTGTCGGCGTACGTTTGTTTGTTTGTGCGTATGTCTGGCAGGCAATAAGTCTAAACGTAATTCTCATGAAATGTTCAGTAGATGTTCTTGATAAACTGACTACTCGTCACATTTTGAGACAAGAGTACGGTTTTCATGCAAACAACAATTTCAATTTTGAGAAAGTTAGCCATTTATAACTAGGTTCTCACGATATTTTCAGGAGGGTTTACCTTTGAAACACGAACGGACACATTGTATTTTAATAGAGTCGTAGGTACGGCAGTTGCTATGGAAACAATCATATCTGAAATGATTTTTTATAACAATATTTTATTATGTTATATATATTATTGATTAATGTTTGTTTTGTCCTTTTCTCCCCCATTATCAAACAAGTTATAGAAACAAGAGAGGTTGCTTTAGAACACGGACCAATTCACAAAATTTCAGTTCTGGACCAGATTGCTATGGAAACAACAATTTTGGAAAAGATTCTTTTGGGGACATGTAATTTTGTATATGTGTCTTCTATTTTTTAATGATATTATGGCATTTAATTTTCAAACAAAATCAAGTAAAATTCTTAACAGAATGAGAACATTTTCGTTGTGAGAATTTCGTTCCAAAACGTTCGCAATTTATTCGCATTGTTCTATAAATAGTATAATTAGTCTCCACACATGGATTTATTAGTAAATCGCCTCAGGGTTGAAAAAACACAGCCAGTTATATGTGCGTCAAACAACAGTGAGTGAGCTCTTTGACATCACTACCCGGGCAGATAAACACCCTTTGAGTAAATAACTCGACAAATAATAGATGTGAATTTTGCAAGTTTTATATATTGATTTGAAAGTGGGGAACAGGCTGAGTGCGTTTAACGGTTTGGTTGGTTGAATACAAAATTACGTATAAATGCGTAAGCAATTAGGCTGCAATTGTGTTTTTACATCGAAATCTTAAAATGCCAAAGTTGACTGTTAGTTTACTCATTAACCCACCTACTAGCTAGGCTGATACACGAACCTGTTACGGCATGTTTTAATAAGGCATTTCCGGTTTTACGAGTCTTCCTTGCGAGAACTCACAAAGTATGAGAAAAGTGGGCTTTGTTCAGTTGGCTGTTGTCGCCATCGGAAAAACAATAGAATAGAATAGAATAATGCTTTATTAATACCGTAAAGAAAGAGTTAACATTTCTTTTTAGGTTTTCAGATTTCAATATACATCAAATCCCATTGAGTGAAATAATTATATTGTGAACAGAACTGAGTTGGTGGACGCGAAAATAAACAATGTATTTTACACGCGTTGTATACGTCGCTATCCCGCAAGGAATTTGGCATCCGCTTATATATCCTCGCTAAAATTCATGAGACAGAACTATAATCACTGTACACAAATATACACAAGTTTACTAGGTTAGAAAGTGGGTTTTATTTCATCAAGTCATATTTTAAAATTACGAATAACATGCATGATTTTGTGACTTCTAATATCGTGTATATCGCTGCTTTATATCACCACATTGTAAACATGGATCATACTTAGATGCATGTCTAATATTACGATTAAACATGCCATAATTCAACAGTCCAAAAACTAGAAAAGCAAAGGCTATTTTACTATTAAAACTAATGAGTAAAACACTGTGTGGTCACGTATCCATGGCATTCTACATGCAAAACACCTGATTAAAGTAGGATTCTAGTGTTGGATTTATTCATGATTTACATGTATACGGATGAAGGATATTTATATTTATAAATGTGTATCAGTTATGCTGGTTCCACATGACAAACAGACTAACGTGTATTTGTTTAGTGGGAGTCCTTTTGCTTTTACGTTTCAGTATTGACTTCTTAACTTCGTGCGTCTCTCAGGAAATTCACGTAGTATGATTTAATTATATTAAACCTAGAATGCCAAGTGTTGCAATTTTATTAAAAATAAATTTGTTTTTTAAAATCCATATTTTATACCATAAAACGCGATTTATGTTTGTAAATTTTGTATTTCATATCATAAAACGCGATTTACATTTGTAAAACCCATATTTCAATCCATAAAACGCAATTTATGTTTGTAAATTCTATTTTACATTTCATAAAGTATTATTTCGTTTTCTAAAATTCGTATTTGATTTCATAAAACGTATTTCTGTTCGAAGAATTCCTATTAAATATTCAGACGCCATTTTGTTTTGTACAATTTATATTTCATTCGGTACCCGCATTTCTATGTTCAAAAAACATGGGCGGATTTAGAGGCCGCGCCCCCTATTTTTAACAACCAACAGGGCTTCGCGCCAACTTATCGGCCCCTATTCCAGAATCCTAGATCTGGCCCTAAAAAAAGCTTGTTATTTTGTGTCATTCATTTTACTTTTGATGTGCACCGAATTGTACTTGGGATAAATATATGTTTCATTTCTGAACCATAAATATTTCATTCGTGAAATGTATTTTACATGTATTTTTTGTGTGTGACAATATTCTATTTTGGTTCATAAACCGTAACAAACTTAGGGGGCCTACAATTGTACTGCGTCTGTAGTGGCGCTGTCTGGCATGAACACTAGCAACACGTCATTTTTAGCGCCATTTCAGAAATGGCGTCGTGTCCGTCTTACGTTAGAGTGCGTATGGATGATGAAATTGGGGGTAATTTGCCTTCCACTTCACAGAGGGAGACTTATATAATTAACCTTGAGGTCTCAATTTCCTGATGCAAGTGGACTTCGGTTCTGATAGGAAACCGACCATTAGGTCCCGGAACAGAATAAAATAGTCGTTGGGCCATCCCGGGGGTGGGCCATAAGGCCCCAACGCAATGCTGAGTTAGCAGGATAGATTCTGTGTAGTGGACTCTGTAGCGTTGCACTATAGGGCTCATATCACTAATTGAATTTCCATAGACGACAATGTTAACATATGACGAGATTGTTATATGAAAATGACGAAGTAAGTTGAAAACATGGCTCAAAAATGGGAAATCAACATGCCAGTAATCAACCATATGAAAAAAACATGTTGGCCAGCTCAAACTCTTCCAAATCTCAGGTAAACAAGACACACCTACTGTATTTAGATTGCACCTAGAGAAATCACTGGAAAAACACCAAGATTAGAACATCCAAATACACACAGAATATACCCACAGGTACACAGCCGCTAAGTAGTAAACAAAAGACCACATGTTGGTCTCATCTTTGACCCAGGTGATTACGCCCTCAAACAGAGAGCACCTGAGAAAAAAAATATTTAAAAAATTTCATTGGTTCTTTCAAGGCATTTAAATTATTACCTTATTATATTACTCGCCCGCAAATGATCCATCATCATGACTGCCCCAGAATGTGGATGATCACTGCATATCTGACGAATAATACCATCAAGGACATCATCACTGAAGTTACTGTAACGTGATACATTACATTAAAATGGTTGCTATAATAGTTACTATCTTATACTAAAAT